TAACTCGGGAAATTTTTAATGGAACAACCGCGGCGGCGGCGACGTTATGTGTAAACATTTTCCCGTTTGGGTTTGTTGATGCGCGCGCGCGCGCATATATGCGTGTGTGTACGTATGCGTTATTATTACGCGAACAACAATGGCGATGATCGATTTATACCAGCGTTCGAAAATCGTAAAATCAAAATAGGTACAACATTCTATCGTATATTATATTATTAGTTTATGTTTAGTTATACAGTGTACGCGGTCGGGAGGTATATTATTTCATCCGTCCGGCCAGCGCCTGTATTTTACAATGCTTTGAAAAAGGGTCTCGCGCAGGACGCCCGCCCCTGAGATCCTGAAATACATGCTCGCATTCATAACATTGACAAAGGCAGGAGTTTACTGTAGAGTAATGCCACTTTATTCAAAATAGGACCCTAGCAAATCGCGTTATAAAAAACATATTACACCTGTTCCTCATCTTACATAAATAAATATTGAGTATACAAATTTATAGCTTTAATCGCGTAGTGCATATTGATAAATAAATGTAATACAATTCAAATGACATTAATTTATGTATAGATACAAATACTACATTATGACATATCAATAGTATCTTTATTAATTATTTAATAATCGACATTTAACAACAATCTAGAAAAAATACTCTTATTTTACTATTAAATGTATTTAGCCTAAAACGAACAGCAGTAAATGTCGTATGATTGACGTAATAATCCAATTTTTTTTTTTTAATCATGTCCATTACAGCATATCAATTTGAATAAAAAAAAAAAAATCATAAGACTTCATCTTAACGTTTTTATTAATACATCTAGAATTGGATCTATTCTGTGTGTTTAACATTAACTGTTTCCATTATATTATTTTATCAGCTACATAGATGGTCAACTTGACCCTTCATTTGACAAGGTCTCAGGTATGCGTCGAATTTATACACGAGATAATACGTTTTCTAAGCAACATAATATGTATATATGTAGTAATGACATTTATTTATACGTTACTGTATAAGTATATAACTAAGGCCGACGAAGAAAGCAATAATCACGGTCACATCTGCACGCTCTTATTTAAATTATCCATCGAGAACGTATAATGGGAAGTGTGCGTATATTATATCGAAAATTTCTAATTTTATTATTGTATATATATGTATTTGTGTGCGTTTGTCTATACTCGCATATAAGCATATAAGCTCAGACGTCGACTCAACTCAACGTGTGTACACCTAATATTTACATATACGACGACGACGTCACAAGACGACGTGTGCACGGGAAATAACGTCCATTTCCTGCAGTGTCTTAGCCCCCGTGAAAAACCGACTATACACTTTCAACCAAGCAGCATATCCAATTTTCGATTAATCTGTATAATATGTAGGTATAAAGCGTATGAATTATCTATATTTGCCTACGTGTATATGCGAGAATATAAATCTAACCGTCTTGTTATTAGATTACGAAAATTCGTAATCAATTTTCGTTAATTATTATTATTATTGCAATAAAATGTTTTTCGTGTATTTGGCGGTTCAATTAAAGAATATTATTGCGTTCACAAATGGTTTGATATATAAATATCATAATCTGTGAGTGTGTGTGTAATGAAAAATAAGTCTGTCGATCGCTGATTATAAGGCGGGAGTAATAGAGTACCTATTATAATATTATTATAATACATTATTCATTAATCGCGGTTATTGCCGATTCCGTTTGCCAACCTTAAACAAGCAGACTAGCTGCTATTAATCGATGTACCTATAACACCTAATATATAATACACAATTATAATTTTTTAAATCTGTAATGTTTTTTTAAAAACTTCTTTTGATTGATTAAAATTATAATACCTGTATAATTTAAAACAATATTTTATTTATTTTTATTTTTAACAAGTTTATTTTTTGATAGTGAAATACGATACATATATGCATGTATTTATGATATATACCCACAAAAATCATCAATAAGATGCTTCTAAGAGAAGTTTGTATTAAAAATATCTGTGTAACTTGTTATGCGTATAATCTCGATTATGTGTAACATTTAACAAAGAAAAATCGTATGTCTAAATCACAAATCACTGTACATGACACGCATGTATGTGCGTATATTAAAATAATAACAAATTATAATTATTAAAACAACGTAGACCATTGGAGACAAAAGAAAATAATGTGTGATAATAGTTCAGAGGGAAGGCGGTGTATGTAGGTTGCGAACGAAAGTGAACATTGTCAGCGAGGAACAATATGAATTAATTGCCGATTTCAAAAAAGTATTTTTCAAAGAAATTCAATATTATTTGTGTCTCTTATATCTACACGTTATTAATTATTTTCATGTTCATCGTTTCATAACAATATGCGCATAATCGTTTTAATAATGTACATTTATTGTGTTATGAGAGCAACGAGGTCTCTTTGAAACTTTTATTTATATATGCATAACATGACTGTGTATAATGCGGCTGCATACGAGAGAGCGAATATGTATATTTGTGATAGAGAGTGAGTGAGAAGGATTAAAAAAAAAAATTTAAGTTACAAGGTGTGAGGGTCATCGTTTATTATTATTATAAATTTTTTTATGTACAAAAATAATCGTCAATAAATTCAATAAAAAATAACAATGATTGATACTCTCGTTTATATATTATATTGATATACATATATATATTTGCGTTTTATCTCTTTCAATTGGTGTTTTGTTAGATTCAAGTCCGGCGTATAGTATATGTTATCGGGCCGTTGCTCGAACTGATAACCTCTGAAAAAAATGTACTGCATGTATATACAGTACATACACATATATTATTTGCGTGTGTGTGAATACTGTTTTATTTTATAGGTCGCGTATAAATTATTACCTAAGTATGTAATTTTTTCTGCAGTTTTTGTTAATATACAGCAGAACGCCGTTTCTCGTTGTTTAATTCGCCAACGTGTGGTTGTTATATGGTCGCGGGTGTTGTGTATTTATTATCGTACATACGTTGACGTAAATTTGTAAGAACGTTACGGAACAGACAATATTTTCATGCATTCCGTGCCAATTAAAAAGTTGTTGAGATTTCGCAAATTCAGTGATGGATTATTATTATTTATTTTAACTGATTTTGTGTTTGGACATTTAGGTATTAAATAAAAATCTTTTTAAGCCAGTCCGTGTACACGTTAAACACATTTAAGTAATTAAGTGTGTGGTATCGGATTATATATCTTATTTTTATTCGACTCGATTTGACGCTGTAACGTCAATCATGATAAAAGATCATCGTCTACATAGATTTAATTTTAATTATAAATATAGGTATGTTGGATCTTTTTTTTATAAATTTTTTTTATACAATCATATTTTTAGTTTAGGTACATATAAATATACATACCTACATAGACTTTTTGACCTCTAACGCGGTCGTTACGCGTAACCTTCTCCTTTGACTCTGAAATACGTTTTCATTTCGTTCGCGTGCGGCACATACAAATATAATATATGCATTGTAACATATAATTCAAATTAAAATGTCGTCTAAAAAAATAAATAATAATAATGATATTATTACTAATAATTAAATAACATAATGATAAAATACGTCTCGTCCACAGTAGTTTAGCACGTAAGTGTATAAATTGAGAGAGACAGAGATAGAATAAAGAATGAGAAAACGAATTCAATTTATTCGCGTCATCGAACCATTTCAAGAACGCCAAGTTAAAATGCAAAAAATCGATTGTCCTTAAGTAAATTAAATAAAAGTGTTTATTTGTGATAAATTGAAGAGATGCGCTCGAAAAGCAGATTTTATTGTTCTTGCTATTTTTTTTTTTTTATTTGTATTATTTCGAGTTCTTCAGAAAATCGTTTTTATAAATACGTGCATTATTGTCTGTGTAATGGAAATGCACGTGTAATATTTTTTTTTAAACTATTCGGCTCTGGATCAGTGTGAGCTGCACGCGACAAATAAGATAATATTATGTATGTATAATATTATATTATATAGTTATGGATGTATGGATGGCACCTCCCACGAATATTTTATGTTGTTTTTTTTCGCTTACATCTACCACGCGCTTCATAATAATAGATTGTACTCGTCACGGTAAATTTATGCCGAGTGACACACAATATTTATAATAATATGATATAACAATGCGATGATATTATAAATGGTTGCTCACGCGTGCGTTTAACCGGATCGAGCAGATTTCTGTTAAAACTGACCTCTGACAACAATACATTAGGTATAACGTCAACACGCTGGGAAGGCTTAAGGAGAACAAAATGTGACATAAATCTATACTAATCGGTATTTGGCTGAAGCCTTTGAACCGACGAACACTCTATGCTTTTATGTCCGAACATAAAAATAAACATTGATGTTTTGTCCCTATAATAAACCTGCAAGAACCAGGATTAACATCAAACCATTATGGTATAAATGTATTATAAGTCATAACGTATGTATACCGCATGTGGTATTTATCCAATTGTGTGTAGTTTTCTAATAAACTTGTATAAAAGCACCCGAAAAAGAAATATAAAATATCTCAAAATTTCAATACGCGCAACATTTTCTGTAGTATATTTTATTTACTCGATTATTGTTGAGATAGGTAATATGAACATAATATAATATTATAGAACGAAGTTTTATATTTAACAGTCTCTTAAATATATAATATATATATAAGCCACGTTATAAATTTTGGATCTGAGGCAGTGACTCTGAGGTACATATCACAAGTTCGCTTTGCAATCACATATGTATACTTATCACATTATCATGTTTAAAAGCGTTTTGCGATTTCGTTTGAAAAAAAATAGGTATACTCACTATTCATGCATTGCTATTAATAATTATTATTAAATAATTATTATCAACACATTTTTTTTTTCCCCCCCGTTAACCCGACGCAAATCATGCGATGTTTAGTGTGACGCATTACTCATGTGCATCCGTTTTTGTTGTCGTTGCAGTGTAATGTCATCGAAACGTAAATCGCCGCCGTCCAAGTTGCTGGAGAACGCCACGAGCGCACCGGACACGACAACGACGGCCGAGACAACGGTTGCAGCGACCGCGGTCGAAGAGAACGGTAGCGGCAGCAGTAGCGGCCACTCGGACGACGGTTACACTTGCAGCAACGGTACCGAAGTCGTCGACAACTGCGAAACGACCATGGAAACGGCCGCGGTCACCGCGTCAGCCGTGCAGACGGCGGACAGGAGCTGCGGCAGCCCTGTCGTGGCCAACAGCCCTCCGCCGTCGTCGGCGTCCGCCCGGCCGGCCAGCAGTAGCGGCGGCACGTCGCCGTCGCCGTCGTCGGACAGCGAGAACAGCAGCAGCGGCGGGGGACGGTACGCTTCCGGTTCGTCGCCCGTGGGCGGCAGCGGCCGACAGTCGTCCAACAACAGCAACAACAACAACAACAAACGCCAGCGCACCGAAAGCCCATCGTCCGCGGCGGGCTCCGCTGCGGCCGCGGCCGCCGTGGCCGCACTCAGAGTGTCGCCGTTCGCCGCGTACTCCAGACAACACGCCCCGGGGTCGTCGCCCCCCCAGCACCAGCAGCCCGCACATCCGCCGCCGCCGCACATCGCGTCGTTTTTGACGCTCAACCACGGCGCCGCTTTCTACGAGACGGCCGTGGCCGCAGCGGCGTATGAACGGGCGCTCATGAACGCGGGCGGCCATCACGTTCAGCAGCAGCAACAGCAACAGCAAATTCCCACTTCGTACCATCACATGATGGACAACGTGCAGGCGGCGGCGGTGGCGGCCGCAGCGGCCGCCGGTTCGTCGTACTTCGACATCGAACAGCGTTTACTCCGCAAAGGCGGCGCGGACGATGCCGAAAAACTCGCTCATTTCATGCACCTGAACAACAACACTTTCATGCACAACCACAACAACAACAACAACAACAACATCAACAACGCGATGTCTCCGGCCGGCGGACCGGCCGTCAAGCGGACCATGGACGACGTGCTCAAGAAGCTCTCGTCGAAAAAACACATCAGAGACGAACACGGCGGCGCCCCGGTGTCCGGCCGTACCGATTCGCCTTCGCCCAAAACCAAGTCAGTGCACGTCATTTTTATATCGATAAAATATATATTATATTAGGCATAAATATGATATTATACCCATGTCCGGGTAGGACGCGATTGCGTGCGTTTTTCATTTTTTTGGCGACACCGTTTCGTATATGTTTGTGGATGGGTGTAAATTTATTTCAGTTTTAGCATAATATATTATACCTATACTTAATGAATGTCTTGTAAAATATGTGTAGGTACACTCCTGTATAGCGACCGATATAAAATAATAAAATATACCTATAATGAGAATATAACTAAATATAAATAAAATGATTAGGTAATAAATAAATAAAATCATCGATAAATCGATTAATAACGCTATTAATACTATTCGTACACGATCGCGTAATAATTGAAAATCAAGTAAAATCGTACGCACTCGTGTTTTACTCTAAAGTATATCCTACGGTTTAGGTTTTCGGTGTTTACGATGCGCTGAAATTGCAGACGGATTACCGTGGCCGTGTTACATTGTCATTCCGCACTTTGGATTACCGTGCCAATTCGGTGTACTTATACCTAATGGTCGTTCGTAGTTTTGTGGTTTTGTAAAATTTATATTGAAACCACAAAAACGATAATAAAATGTTCAGCGCTCGTAATATTTATAATCACGCATTTCAATCTTTGGATTGTCTCAGTAAATCGTATATAGTAGGCGTTGGTAAAAAATTAATCCTTTATCGTCCTACCGTTTTCGGTAGGTACCTATACCTAAGTGTATTTGTAAATCGTAATAATATGTTTGTCGCAATTATCGCAATCACATCGCCGTCGATACCTACCTATTTTATTTGGGCCACAACACTGACATCTTAGATATCTTAATCGTATAATGTTTTTTCTTTTTTTTACTATTGTGCGTCTTGTCTTTGTGATATGAACATATTCGTATTGTGTTGTTGAAATAAAAAAAAAAAATAGGTATACTGTGAGCCCAGCGGTATTTATATGTACTCGAGTTTTGGGTAGCAATCGAAACCAGTATTATAAATTATAGTATTTATAAATATATATATATATATATTTATTATATACTTTACAGTAGATAAAAAAAATATGTATATATATATATATATATATGTCATAGCTAACAATTATTGCCATTTGCTGTTTTAAGTACATTTTTTATAAACCACTCGAGACCGTATTACAACAACGTAGGTATATTGTAGTCCTAATAGGCGCGGATATACACTCTATAATGTGCTCGTGCATAATTGTTCTGACGGCCACGGCCTATCCATACACCACTTTCGTCATTGTCGATTGTTATGCAGTATACTAAATTGGTATAAAAACTTTTTTTTTTCTTTTTTACCACGATATAACAGTATAAGTATAAGTAGCGCGTTTGAAAGCTCTTAAAAATAGCAATCTTCGAGCTATATATCTAGAAAATGCACATCATATAATTTTTTTTATGATATTAATACTTATATTATGACCTATTGGTGTGCAATTTTCGGGGTGGGGTCTAGCGTAGTCACGCGTTTATATATAACGATATTTCTGAAGACTCGCCTCGTGCACACGCACACTGCACACGACATTTCAATAGCGTTTTTAATCCTCGTGACGTCGTCAGATGTTTAATACAATATCATAAAACGCTCATTATCTGCCGACAATTATTATTATTGATTTCGTGCATCTCTCGTCGTCGTCCTCGTTGTCGTCGTCGTCGTCGTAATCGCGCATTCGGCTCCAATGCAGTTACGAGTAATCTCTGCCTCCACCATCCGTCCACGGTCAGAACTTATTTAGTGCGAGTTTAGCCGACGTCGTATGTTATATAACATATTGTGAGGCATATAGTGAGAGGTGCATCTCCTACGCATTCGTGTGGTGCCCCGTCCGTAAAATTTAATTATACTGCTACAGCGAGGAACGCCGACTGTTTGAGACATGTGTTCGAAATGCGTTCTTTTCATCGGAAGCGGCGATGGCGTCGGCGGCACCTCACTTGGGTAAGTCGAAAAACGCGACTTAGTATCATACCTACATATTACAATATAATAATAAATATCATATATTATTCAATCGGTTGGTCATATTTTTATAGGTGATACACACACGTAATGTTTTCGTAATTCGATGTTTAATTACATTTATAATAATAATAGGTAATGGTTATAGTTTCGCACATGTTGCAATCGTCTGCCGCCGATCTATTGTCTTACGTGCATTTATTATTACTATTATTTATATATTATCATATTCGATACATATCGTTATGATTTATACGTTTTTTATAGGTTCACGGATAATCTGCGGTGAACTTTAAACCTGCGGGTGTACGGGTAATAATGTTATAAATTATAGTCGTTCTGTTGTCGCGGTCACCGAGACGTTGAATTGATGTTTTATATTATTATTTTCTTAAGGTTTAAAGTAGATTTTGTGTATACCAACCTAAGAAAGAAAAAAATTGCCCATCGCTAATTTAGAATAGATATATCATTATTATCTCGAATTACATACATGTACATGCGTTTTGTCGAGTGCCTCCTTATGTATTTAATAATAATAAGTGTGTTATGTTATCATCAACGAAGAAGAAAGCTCATCATCTCTCGACGCGGCGCGGAAATTCGTCGCCGCCGCCGCCGTTTTACGCTCAGCCAACAAATTGATACAAATTTTAGACGACTACACAACTACATCACTAGTCTCTCTCTCTCTCTCTCTCTGCAAGGCATCTAATAAATTTCGACGCGTTCGGGAGTCCGTCGTAAATTAATGATCTAATTACGACTTGCCGGCGCGAACCGCTCGGTCATCTAGGCGACGATCGGTGTCCGAATGGAGGGGAAATAATAAGGAACTTCAAGTGACGGCGGTGGCGGACAGAGATAGAGACGCGCGGGCAGGGCTAATGGATGGCTTTTTCGCCCTCCGCTCTCGCGTACCCGCGGTCTCTTCATAGTGCACATGACGAGGACGATGATGATAATAATAATAATAATAATTATTATTATTATTATATACGTTCTCATTCTTCCTATCCGTCTCACCTAGTTCGGTTATATAAAACCGCGACGGCGGAGGTGTATGGCAGTCGGCCAACAAAACCTATCTGTCTCGCGCATTATATACGAGTCCGCGACTCGCGACGCTGTTTTATAGCCGCCGGACCACAGCTATCCGTTTCGCGAGCGCAAACGCTCTTTCATTTTAATTATTATTATAATATATATACTACTACGACAGTGTAATATATTATACTATACGCCGCAACACTCCTCCGCTCGGGCGTTTGCGCGCATTTATTGTTTTGTATTTTTAGACGACTAGTGTATTATATGCCTAATAATAATAATAGAAGCGAAATCAAAGTTATGTGACCGGTGTAGTGCGCGGCATATTATAGTAATACCGAGTAGACGTGTTTTTGAGAGAGTATAGCATTATGACTGCCGCGATATATCGCATAATATAATTAATGCATTATAGTCTCGCTAGTGGTGTAGTTAAGATGTATGGCAGCGAATTATTGTTATTAAATTATTATTATTATTTGAATATAAATCCTCTTTCGCGTATATAAAACGTTTTATTTTTTTTTTTTCGTTGTTATTCTCTAGCCGAATATCATAACCACCCAACATTATCGTGAGGATGCATACTATTATTATTATATCGATAAATTAAACGGGGGAAAAAAATCGAGAGTCATAGTATAATATAAATCGATAAGTAACAACACACTCGTAAAATAATGACATCCACCGCGTTTGCGATAAACACGTTTTACACGAAACAAACACGAGTGAGGTTCCTACTCTGTACAGATAAATATTATTGTTGTTAATCCGTGATACGTTCAAATCCTTTTCGGGTTGTCTGGTGGTCGAGTGCGTAAACTTTTCTACAAATATTTTGTTAATCTTATTACAATATAATAACACGTTTACATTAAAATAACCCAATCTTACCTCAGCAAAAATATCGACGCACCTGCATAAATCTCTTATATATTTAACACCATATTTATAGCCTATAGATTATAGGTATCAATATATACTCTAAGTCCTAATTCCATCCTGAAATAGACGTAAAGGAGGAGAACTTTAGAGCACTTGCACTACCTTCAGAAATCCATTTCGACAACCTAATCATTGAATGCTATTTATTTTGCGTGTTCTAAATCTCTCAAACTTTTATTAAACATGATTTTTACGTTTCAAACCTAAGACTATACACATCAACGGAGTGTTTACTTAATCGACTACATAATATAATACTCATATACAACCGATTGATTATTATTTTTCGCTAGTAACATATTATACCCATTATAGCATAAAAGTATTAAGTGAGTCGCTCCGTTCCCTAACCGCGTTTATTATTTACCGTCGTTGGTTTTCGACCCTCAAACGATATAATATTTGCATACACATAGGCCAATGTATATTTATTAAATTGTATAATCATATAAATATATATATATTATACTCGTTTATGTACCATACAACGAGTATACAGAAAATCATTAAACGCTCGTCGTCGTCGATAATGATGATGATGATAATAATAATGAAAAAATGATAATAATAATAATAATACAATAAAATTACGTGTGCGGTATTATAATGCTCAGGTGCTGTTATCTAAATTTCAATTAGACGATTTATTAACTGCCTACAGTTTAAACATGTCGAGTGGAACTAACGCAACTATAACATTGTTTCTATACTGTATTATGTTATTATACTTTTACATTATTTCTTATGTATAATATATAAAATGGTGTATGTTTGAGACCAATTCGCTTTTGAGAGATGTTTATAGCTTTTTTTTTTTATTTGCTCATCTATTATGATGCTTGGACTTAAACTATTCTTATTATTTATTACAAAATTAAAAAAATCGAATGTCTCTCCTATATAATATACATGATCCAATACTATGGATATAAGCTTAAATAATAGTTATATTTCGATGTTAACATATGACCACAAATATCTCAAACAAGAGCGAATATTATAAATGACTACAATACGCAGTTAACATTTGTTATATTTATTTTTTTGTTTAGACTTTGTAATATAATAATATAAAACTATTTTTGTGTGGAACTAATCTTTAATATCGAAAGAAAAAACAATATTTTATATTTTTATCTCCGGACAGTCTAATATATGTATGTAAGACTGGATTTGATCGTTAGTCAACAATATAATCACTTTAAATAATATATTATATTATATTATTATTTCTTTACATGTGTTATGTTTCGCTCAACAATGAACGTTAATGATTCGAATGAATTTTAGCCGGCCCGTTTTCTATATATGTATAGGTTATAGATATACACTGTGGTTACCGCCATGCAAATGCAAATATATAATTTAATATAGATGCTTACCGTTCGACCGTGGCCAATTAATAATATTATATTTTATTCGTTTTCGACGACCCCGCGCATATACCCATTATAATGTTCCCGCGGTCCAAATTCTTATTTTATTTTATATGCGTCTGTTTTATTTTATTTTTACTCATATCAAGGTCATTGAAAGGTGGCCGCCGCCGACAGTTTATTTTTTTCTGTAACAATGCACAATACACATATATCTTACGATATTATATCATGCAAGTTGCCATAATTATATTTGCCATTATAATAACAGTAATGTTCGTCTGACGTATGGTTGCGCCACGTGAGAAACCACTTTTGTGAGTTATAAATTAACGCCGCAACGACCACGCACTTGACCATACCAGACGCATCCGCAGGGTTAAATCATAATAACTACGACGTCGAGATATTTTATACCGCGCATTATAATATTTTGCTCTTCGTAAAAAGGTATAGGTCAAGTTTTTTTTTTTTTATATTTGATTCATCCATCATGTATTTTTCACCACGGTAAACAAATACCTCACATCGGTTATTTTTTTGCAATTTCTATTCACTTTTATCGGAATCGGAATGTCCGGGACAGAAAGTCGACGATTACACGCAGTGATAAAATTGTATTTATACCAAAAATTGCTTAAAAACATACTGCACATTGTTGCAATAAAATATCGTGTCACCGTGGCTTAATCGTAGGTTTAGGTACATAGCTGATATTATTATTGTTGTTATTTTTTATTTCTTGACGCTTAGGTACATATTAATAATATAGGCACTATTTAATATTTGTATTTAATTATTATGTATACTATATTGAATAAAGACGTTTTCGACCGAATCATAATTCTCAGCTTAATATTTAAGTGACAGCGTATATTAAGTTAAAAACGCATACCTATATAAAAAGTCATAAAATCTAAACGAATAAAATAGTACCTATATATTAAATTGAATAAATTATTAATATGGTATATGCATACACTAACAAGAGTAATATATGATTAAGAATAAGAACTATGTGCCAATAATTGTTAAAATGAGTAGAAATTTGAATAAAATATAAAAATTAATATTTGATATGTATTTTGATATTTCGTTTTATGGTCATATGACGTGGCGGGTGATTTAAAAACCATATTATTTCTCGGCTCACGAGCGCCCGTAGCACATTCCACTGTCATCGTCGTCGGCTCGTCGCCGCCGCGTAGTAATACTGATGATAATAATATAATAATAATAATAATAATACCATAGGTACATCATGCATATAACATGTTGAATACATTGGTACTTCGCGAGGAAATGGAAATTCTTCTTTGTTGTATTTTTTTACGTGTTAGTTATTCACAACGTACACGGTACATATATATGTAAACATACAAAGATATATGCGTGTGTGTGTATATATATATATATATATTATGCGCATCGTATTTGACAAAGTAACTGCATTATTATTGTATTTATATACAAACAGACGAGCAACATAAATGTATAATGACGGGACGACGCGCGTCGAAGGGTCGGGGACTTATCTCTCTCGGACCTAGGGCATTCAGCGGCGGCTGTGGCGTCGACTTAATAAATATATTATAATATGTACGACGGTCGACGGTGGTCGGATCTCTGTATGTAATACACTAAAAGAACAAGAGACGAATTTCTCAGAATAAAAAACGATCCCGCCGCTGCCACAGAAGAGGGAATGCATGACCGCCACGGGCAGGATCAAAAGGGTATAATCGCGTATATGCACTGTAGTGTGTGTAGATGTGTATTTTTATGTGAGTGTGTGTAAGGGACACACCGCTACAACCCCAAGGGTCCTGTGAATAAATAATAAAACACACTGTACTCAGTGTGTGTGTGTGTGTATATATATATATGTAGAGAGGGATAGTGTACTTACTATATAAAATACTGTCGACTTAGGCCTAGGCAAAGTGATGGGGGAGGGTGTTCGTTTGTTTAGGGTTAAACTTGTATAAATCACCATCGATTATTATTGTTATTATTATTATTATACCTATCCCGTGCGTATAATAATGTAACATATATATTGTGTATGTATGTGTGTCTCTCTCTGTTTCTTATCAGTATATATGTATGTGTGTATATATATATATATGTATACAATACAGTATAAGTCTTCCATAACCTCGCCCTCACGATGTTTAAAAAAAAAAAAAATATTTTGTTTTCATAAAATTTCCAAGTAGAAAATGTCAACCTCCGCCCTCCTATTATGCTTGTATATAAGCAAACAGACATCATATAACGCTAATTCAATATTAAATTGTAAAAAACAAAGCCAATCTCGAATCATTCCATATTATATATATATACATAATAATATTTAAAAGAAATAGATTTCGACATTGTTTATTTAATTAGTAGGTACATACGTATTTATTTTCATATACATATAATTCACAATATTATAGGTTTACCTAATACTTACCTATTATTTTATATTTCTTAACGATTTTACGTCTAGTGAAGTATGAAAAAAATATGATTTACTAATTTTATAATTAAGGTCATTTAAAATTTAAAAGTAGGTATATTATACTATATTATAATTACCATACATATTGCCATAAAAATAAATTTACCATGCATATTTTTTTAAAACATCTTCAAATTCGGTATTGGCAGCTACTATTAAATATTAATTACTCAATAGTCATGTACCATGATATTAACCATTAAATAAACTGGCTACAAGACTGGTTTTTACGTTATTTTTGTCATAATTATATAAGAGATTGACAAAACTCACAGGCACATTTTTAATATTTAGTATTCGTACGCCATGAGATATCAAATAAATATAATAAAAATGTTTATTATATAGCTCAGACGACAATAATTTACATTAATTCATAAATAGTTTAAAAATCAGTTGTTTTCTGAAATTCATTTTTATATTAATTAATTAACGTTTTGATTATATATATTTCGTTATAAACCAGATAAACTTTTTATTTGCATAATATAACTTTACTAATAGTGACTTTTTATGTGTTATAAATTATAATTAATATTTTTTTAAATAGTAAACCGGATATTGGCACTCTGACAGAACACGGCGAAGATCCTTCAGGAGCTCCTCCAGGCATGGAGTTACTTCAACACTTGCAAGGTGATACTACTACGATAGTCGAAAAAGAACGCAAACTGTCAGAGATGATATTGCAATTGCAATTGTTTCGGGAACAACTCCTTACTCAACAAGATCCTCCGACCAAGGTAAGGTTTTACAGTGTACAACTACTAACATTTACATACAAATTTTTTTAAGGAAATAAATATAAAAACGGACAATGGTTATCAAATTTGAAATTATATACACAATAATATGTATCATGTTCGTAAGCATAGTGTCCAATCTTTAGTGTTATTGTTTTGTTTTTATCTAAAGAATTTAGAGACCTTTTTTGAACGAACGTATTTATAGTACATAGATGATGCTATTGTTTGTTTTATGCTGTGGTAACCGGTAACAGTTCCAACTTTGGTGTATACACGATTAATATAGTTAATATTCGATACAAAAATATCGTAACCTTAACCAAAATAAATAAATAAATAAATATTTTGCAATACCCACTAAAATTCTTTTGTGGCCCACGCGCATTTAAGAAACCGTTGATATCTGCTAAAATACAATGAGCGCTTGGAAAAATTTTAGGCACGCGTCCTACATAACCCAGAGATACTTCTCGATGGAGTGATATGTATGTGTATATGCGTATACAGAGAAAGAAAAAAAAGTATTTAACTGCCTTCTTCTCTAGCCGACATTTATGTTTTGTAATAACTTTTGATTTACTACCGTTTTTGCTATGCCATAATATATATAATACGGACGCACACATGAACTATTTTTATAATCATAACGGGCATCACACTGTTATATCCGATCAACGCTACAAAAGAGGGTGGCTTTATAATTATAAATATTATTTTCAGCATTGGCATATTATATTAATTAAATTATTTTTAAACAAATGAAAACCATACTTCGAACAACACTTTAACGTTATACATATCGTAAATATTATATAATACCACACCACAGCATTCGTGCTGTATTGTATTTAATTTTGCAAAAATCTACCAATTCAAGTGCATTAACAAAAAAAAAAAAGAAAAAAAACATTAGTATTATATTCAAAAGGCAATAATAATAATACTAATTATTAATACTATCATCATCATCATCATCATATCAAAATTAATGTATATTTATCGACGACGGTTTTTATTTCCATATCGAGTTCACCGTTTAATTAGTGTATATTATATTGACGGAGCTTTCCGCTTATTCTTTTGTATCGTCGCCACAGTTGTTGTCACGTAGCATTTTATGATTGGAAACATGAAAAGTCTGGCGCGCATTAATGTCAGACAATTGGAAAAGCGGTTTTTTTCCGGAGGGGCAGTGGAGTGATTACGTAATATGGCACGGTAACGGATGGCGGTGTAGTTCAATGAGAAATTAAAATAAAAATACTCTAAAAAAACTGCTTGGTACGAGTCTATATTATATTTTACGAGAGGAGGAAAAGAAGGGTCCATTGCGGAAAGACGAGCGTTTTACCTAAATCATATTGTAATATGTTTTTTTCTCTCTTTTCATTTTCATTAATAACACAACGCCGGTTACACGCGTATACCGCTGTGTATGTATGTATATACACGCCTCCATTCTTTTTCATTACTCGGCCGTTTTTCTTTTGTTCCGCGTTCGGACTTTAATCTGCTTCTGTGCTTTTGAAAAGAAATGCTTTCCTTTTGCGTCTCCTCCTTCCTCGATCTCTGAAGTAGCGGACGCATAATAATTCTGTATCCCGGTATATATCTCATTATTTCCGGCCATTATGAAAACTTTTCAACGAACGGACGTGCTCTGCTGCTCAAATGTCCATGAAAACGCTGTATATTAGTGTTAAGTGCGTCGGAGTCGGGAGTAGTATATAATATTGTTATATATATAATCATTTAAAGAAGCAGCTTTCACAAATGGCAGATACCGCAGTGTCGCGTGCGACAACTTATCGTTCATGTGTACCACAGTATACTTAAAAAAACAAGCAAAATATTTAAAATTAAAAATAAATTATATTTATACGACTTTAACAAGTTTACTTTGATTAAAATAAATGATAACGAGAAAAAAACAACCGTTGCGAGTACGAAATAATAATATGTAATATGTGCAACATGCGTATTGCGTATAGTATTTATTTCATATTCATAATATACATATGTATAATGAGAAGTTAATCCGACGTATGTTGCCATCGCTTTTGCGTAAAATTTGTTTTTGATTAATTTCCGACGGCTGGCGTGATGGAACGGGGGATTGGAAAAAAAAAACCGGACAATCGGAAAGAGGTCCGAGACGAAGAGAAAAGGGTTGTGCAAGGGTCGTGTGCGGTATAATGTGATTTATTGTACACCAAGGAGAGTGCTACTACTGCTACTGCTGTAGTAATAGCAGTTCTTGCAGTTCACCACGCTGCCAGGGTGCTTTCGGGCGTTCCAGCTATGTACATACCATGCACACCGCTAATTTCGACTAGGGTTTTGTAAAGTGGCCGACACATTAAATATTCATAAACATATGTTTGATATAAAATATTTCGCGTTGTCACGCCGGCGATCGACATAAACTGTGCACTGTTGCAGCAGGAGATGCGATGATGGTCCTCCGGGGATACAACGCGTAATATACGCGATGCCAAAGTACCTACTATATACACGCATATTATTATACGATCAGAGCGTTTGTATGCGCATGTGAGAGAGACGGACAACGAGATAATAATATTAAAACGCATTCGGCAATATGTAGACGTAAATATATAATAACGGCGACATATATATGCGTACTATGACATTTAATTGTTCACGGTTCACTGACTTAAACGTAATGGCCGGGTGGGAGCGATTCGTTTGCTTTAAGCGATAGTCGCCAATCGGATATGATTTTTTTCGCTATTATACAAAAGTGTTTAAATAAAAAATATTTGTAATATATAACTTCAGTAGCCAACGTATCGCGAGACGATAAAAAAAAAAATAATGCTATTTAATTTGCACAACGTTCATCATATTAATATCATACGCATGTCATTATTATATATTGTTACATTTTTGGCGCGATGAATCCTTATTATGATTGTGGTGTGCGTATAAACCACTGCTCACAAAGTTTAAATTAGAACTCGTCGTGCGCCTGTCCGACAATATGCCAGCAAAGAACATTCATTCATTTCCTTGACCGCGGACGACGCCTAAAACACTTATAATAAATGTTTGTATTATATGATGAACTCGTATGGATAAATAGTAAAACTATAGGTAGTATGGCTCATCGTCTCCGGTGGTCCCGGCGTCGACAATTTTCGCAAAATACTGTGAATGGGTCCTCCGTCTAACTCCTCCGCCATGATCGTATTCGTTATTATATTTTTATGTAATTTATGAACTACGGTAAACTCACTTTGATACTGCTACAGCCACTATATTGTTCGATCGTACCTTTATAATAGTATTGCGATATTATATTCCGTTCGGCTGCTGTTCCACAGTCCTATCATAATATAATTATAATTATATGATATCTATACATTGTGGTTTTTGACCGATTGATTTATTATGAAAAGTGCGGCGTGGCTTATTAAACGTAATTTTCTTCCACCTCAGTCTGTAATATATGGTATGTCGTACAACTGCAACAGACTCGCGCGCTGTGATGATGATAATAATTTTGAATTATTTTTATTACAATCATTATTATCGTCGACGTAGACTGAACCGAGGAAAATGGCGGCTATTGTACGTGTTGGTTATGTTTGTTATGTGAGACTTAAACAACGACGTGCGCGCCGCGGTAGGCAACGGCGAGTAGAATAAAAGAATAAGAGAATAGTAACCATATAATACCTATATAAGAACAGAAAAAGAAATCATTTATCAAAGTACTGTTTGTTTTGTGTATTATTTATTATTATTCCTTCGGTTTATTATTGTATTTATTTTTTTGTTCGTAATATATATTTTTTTTTCAAAACAAAATACATACAGACTTTTGTTGACCACGACCTACTTGTATTATAATGACGACGCCATTGTGGGCGCGTACAATACTGGTATTGTCTATTCGTCTAGGCTTCATTATTATAATAATAATAATAAAAAAAAAAATTTGACTCCACGCGGCAGTGGTTGACGGTGGCAGCGGTTGTGATATTGCTAGGCAAGTATATAGAAACTGCGTCTTTTGTCAGCGTGTCTCACCGGGTTACATCATTTTTTCTAACGCGTTTCTTCCAAAGTCCCGTCCATTCACCTTGGCAGTCGAGGTTCTCGTTTAGTTTTTGTGTTTGTGTGAATAATAGGTTACTTTGTGTACATTTATATTTAATACCTATCTACCTATACAACAATAAAAACGTATATTTGCATACAAAAACGAAATATAATATAGGTACATATCATCATCAACTCCAATGAATAATAATTATATCATCATTGTATATCGTAAAAACACTTGATACTTTATAGTATAGGAGTATATATATTATCATCATCATAGTTTACCATTAGGTAACCCCATAGGTACTATCGTTTATTTTATAATTATTATTATTTCGAACTTATATTTATACCTAAAGGTATGTCCTATTTGCACGTATGTTACGGGAAGCGATGCATGAATCCTGCTACCTACATATTCGCTGTGAAGTAGTATATCGGCTTTGCTTTTTCATCCGTGTTATTAAACGCCAAGTTTTCTCGAATAAATTTCGTCAATATCGTGTACTAAAGAAATACGGTAAAATGCTATGCATGATTCCAGACTTCTAGAGAAAAAACTAAAAAAGAAAGAAAATGGAAGGTAGTTTAACGTTTTCATATATATGTATATATACATTATAAATATTTTTTGTCCATTTTATTTCTTTGTCTCTCTTTATTTTTGGTAGAAAAATTGGTAGTTGTGCTTGACGTATATATGCATTGTATAAATACGTTTGTCATACAATCCTATTTATCTATATATTATTTTTTAATTATTACACAATAATAATAATATGTCCTATGTTGCAATAAGAATATTTATACGTATATAATATATAGAGGATATATTCTATATAATATATTATGTATTATGTATTGTATACATTAAAATATGTGGCTGCTGTCTGCCATACGACATCAAAATGTGTTATTATTGT